GTGTGCACATCTGGACAATACAGGTGTGAGCAGAGTACGTGACGTCATCCACACCATGGGCCACAATATGACGACCCTTATTACTCCCATACTACCAGAAGTGACGACCACTCCCTCAGTGGCCTAACCCACCACCACCGCCATGTTGAACATGACCACGGCAGCACCACTCCTGGCTGCCGCCCTCACCACCCTCCTCACGCCCATGACGACCTCAGAGCCGCCTAGTGCCACCAGCAGCAGCGCCACCGTCGCCACCACCTCCCTCGATGTCTACGCCTCCTCACTCCCTTACAACAGCACTGATCTTGTGGAAATCGAACTTGAAGACGTGAGCGGGTATAAGACGTTCCTGGCGGGTTCCCGGTACGTGGTACAGCGGGTACTGGTGCCGGTGGTGCTGATCGTAGGTGTGGTGGGTAACGCAGTAACCATCGTGGTGCTAACAAGGCGACAAATGCGCTCCTCCACTAACAACTACCTCACTGCACTGGCTATCTCCGACCTGCTGTACCTGGTGTTTATATTCTCGCTATCCATCCGGCATCACCCTGGCATGAGTCGCCCTCATCACTGGTTCTACTGGCATTACTCCCGCTACGCTCTCTGGCTCACTGATGCTTCCAGTGAGTATATTTGTGCCTCTTGTATCGCTGCACTCAAATGAACCCATAACACACACACAACTTATGGAAACACACACACACACTCACACACATAGGTGTGTGTGTATGTGTGTGTGTGTGTGTGTGTGTGTGTGTGTGTGTGTGTGTGTGTGTGTATACACAGAGCCCAGCAAGTTAGGTTACGGTAAGTAGTTTTGCAGTAAATACGTAGGGTTTTACCCCACATGAGGATCACCAGGGTGGCGAAGCTACCATCTTCAGTCATTAAAATATTGTTTCTGGGTGAACAAATATTTGCTTCCAGAAGCATATGAAATCCAGGCATTATTTAAACACGAGTCTGTGTGCTGTATAAGAAACTATTTCAACAATCTCTCATATGTTTTTTTAATTATGCTTTTCGTAACGATACACCATTTTCTAATATCTTCCATTATTATCCTTTGCACATAATCAAATGAATTTTTGAAGAGATAGACCAGTAAGCCATTTGAAGGCGCCAGTCAGATGACTAAAAGCTCCAGTGATGGGTCATCATATGACTAAAACCTGCGTAAGAAAATACGTGTCCTGTTTCCTGACGAATCTTACCTATCCTCACCTTTGCATAATATTCAAACCACACAGTATCATCTTCTCAGAATAATAGCCACAATACCGTGTCTGGAACAACTCTCAAATAAGCGTCACTTCGCAGAGGAAACTTTACACTGCCTCCGTCCTTCTTACTGTACCATTCAGGAAATATGCCTCACACCCATACAGAAGCCTCGTAACTTTTATATTGTGGTATATTCTGTTGGCAGATTCCTCATCGTTCCAAAAACTATCTTTCCTACTTATAGTATGTAATTTACCTGGTCCTCCAAAGATTCTTGTGTTTAAACACCCACTTCTAGGTAGTAAATACATCATTTTCTATATTCCTTTCTTTATTATTCAGTCTTCCTTTCCCTAAACTTTTACATATATTCATATCTTTGCTCTCTTCTTTATTCAGCTTTTTTCTCTTGCAAGCTGTTACAAACTCCACTATCGTTCTGTTTTTTCTAAGTCTCCCAGCAACACTGTCATCTGCAGAACGCAACAACATCGCCACACACGTTACCACGATACAACATCGATCTCACTTCGTTATAACGAAAATTAACAAAAAAAGGCACAATACCGTGACTGGAACGATACACAAATAACCCGCACTTTGTAAATGGTCCAAGTCGGACCGAAACGTCGTCGTAAGCTCCTCTCTTCTATGTGCGGGTTATTTGTGTAACGAAAATTCATTGGTGGCTCGAATTTTTATTAATATGCATGCCGAGCGAAAGTAATGGTAAGTCTAGTTCCTAGAATCAAGAGCTCCTCCTTGAGGGGCTCTTTAGAGATTTCGGCACAGCCTAATATAACCTACTTGAAGGTTAATGGTGCTGGTGAGGCCATTTGGGGGAATGGGGGAGGGAGTGGTGAACATATGTGGCCAAGTACCTCCCTTCCCTCGCCTCCCCCCGCAGGCATATAAGGACCTCGCCTCAGGCGGGAGTATATAAGGGGTTATGAGCTTGTAAGGACCCCATCTATATTCCTGGGGGGTTGGAGAGTGGGGTTGTGGAAGTCATGGGTGAGTATAAAACTCACTGTCTGGTGGCTCTGGTGGCCTGGTGCCTAACGCTCTCGCTTCACACGGCAAGGGCCTGGGTTCGATTCCCAGTCAGAGTAGAAACATTGGGCGTGTTTCTTTCCACCTGTTGTCTATGTTCCCCATCAGTAAAATGGGTACCTGGGTGCTAGTCGACTGGTGTGGGTCGCATCCTGGGACACTGACCTAATTTGCCCGAAATGCTGAGCATAACAAGGAGCTTTCTATATAGTAGTATGTCATTGATGTTAGTTAGACCTGTATACCTTGTACATGTACTTGTAGTAAATAGAGATATTATTATGATATTATTATGTGCGAGCACTCGCAAACACTGCGTAACTTTACTGATCTATAATATCATATATATCAGCTACCATGATCTGTGAGGTTGTATGTATCAGTTACCATGATCTGTGAGGTTGTATGTATCAGCTACCATGATCTGTGAGGTTGTATGTATCAGCTACCATGATCTGTGAGGTTGTATGTATCAGCTACCATGATCTGTGAGGTTGTATGTATCAGCTACCATGATCTGTGAGGTTGTATGTATCAGCTACCATGATCTGTGAGGTTGTATGTATCAGCTACCATGATCTGTGAGGTTGTATGTATCAGCTACCATGATCTGTGAGGTTGTATGTATCAGCTACCATGATCTGTGAGGTTGTATGTATCAGTTACTATGATGATCTATAAGGTCAGCTGCCATAATGATGCTGATTCACAATCTCATTTCTGGCCTGAACTCTCCCTTTCATTTCCTGTGGTGTATGTATGTGTATGTGTGTGTGTGTACTCACCTAATTGTGGTTGCAAGGGTCGATTCATAGCTCCTAGCCCCGTGTGTGTGTGTGTGTGTGTGTGTGTGTGTGTGTGTGTGTGTGTACTCACCTAACTGTACTCACCTAATTGTGGTTGCAGGGGTCGATTCACAGTTCCTGGCCCCGCCTTTTAACTGGTAGCTAGTAGGTCACTTTCCCTTCTCCATGAGCTTTATCATACCTCTTCCTAAAGCTGCGCGTGGATCCTGCCTCCACTACATCACTTTCCAGACTTCTACTTCCTGACAACTCTATGACTGAAGAAATACTTTCTAACATCCCTGTGACTCATCTGAGTCTTCAACTTCCAATTGTGACCCCTGTTGCTGTGTCCATTCTCTGGAACATCCTGTCTCTGTCCTCCTTGCACTTTGTTGTTACATATTCCATCATCTCGTTTACTGATTTTCCTACCAGTTCTCTGTCCCACTGAGCCTCCTGCAGGAAGTTCCTCATACCTGTGTAGTCGTCCCTTTTGTAGTTTGGCTTTTTCCATTCAGTTCCTGTTTCCTCCTCCACTTGTAACTCTACTATATAATCAAAACTCAGAACCACGTGATCGCTAGCTCCAAGGGGCCTCTCGTACGTGATGTCCTCAATGTCCGAACTGCTCAGGGTAAACATAAGATCCAGTCTTGCTGGCTCATCCTCCCCTCTCTCTCTGGTAGTGTCCCTGACATGTTGATGCATGAGATTTTCAAGTACCACATCCATCATCTTGGCTCTCCATGCTTCAGGACCCCCATGTGGCTCCAGGTTTTCCCAGTCGATCTCCCTGTGGTTGAAATCGCCCATTACCAGTAACTTTGCTCTGCTCGAGTGAGCTCTTCTTGCCACCTCAGCCAATGTGTTCACCATCGCCCTGTTGTTTTCTTCATACTTCTCTCTTGGCCTCCTGCAGTTCTGTGGTGGGTTATACATCACTACAATGACTACTTTATGTTCTCCAGACTGAATTGTACCTACTATGTAGTCTCTTTCTCCAATCACGTCCATGCCTTCCATTTCCTCAAATCCCCATCGGTTTCTTATGAGCAGTGCAACTCCTCCTCCCCCTCTACTCCTTCTATCTTTTCTCAGGATCTGATATCCCGGTGGGAAGATTCCGTCTGTTATTGTCTCAGCGAGTTTTGTTTCTGTGACTGCTATGATGTCTGGGGATTTCTCACTGATTCTTTCGTGCCACTCCTCATGTTTATTCGTTATTCCGTCCGTGTTTGTGTACCAAACTTTCAGCTTCCTTTCTATCACTGTGGTCCTGCTAGAATATTGGGGTTGGGGGAGCAGGAGCCTTGGTGGGGGCCTATGGGGGGCTGTGGTGTAGGTGGGGTTTGTGATGATGGGGTGGGGTCAGAATGCCCATAAGGGACAGCTGTTGAGATGAGGTTTGTGATGTGGGTGTTGCTGGAAGAGCGAACAGTGAGTGGGTTGTGGTTTGGGTTGCTCAGTTGCGTTGGGGTTGTCGCAGTTGGAGTCTTTCGGTGGGAGATTCTGCAGGGTGTGTTTGCCCTTCCTCCTGTGTCTGGGTCCTGCTCATCCTCATCATTGCCTCTCGTTCCTCCTTGCGTCTCTGTACCCTCTCTTTCAGTGTAGTCCTTTCTTCTTGTGTTCTGTCGCGATCGAGGTATACTCTCTGGTACCCCTGTTTGTGTGTGTGTGTGTGTGTGTGTGTGTGTGTGTGTGTGCGTGTGCCAGTCAGTGAAGGCGTTCCAGGGTATCATCATAAAAATTCCAGCCACTCTGCACATCACAAGGGCAAAGTCAAACTTTAAGTTTGGGCCAAAAATACATTTCTTTCCCAGCATGATTTCCACCTTCGCCCCTCCTCCTCCCCCCCACCCACCACAGACATCCCCCACCCACAGACTCCCCCCCACCCACCACCGACATCCCCCACCCACAGCCTTCCCCCACCTCTCCTCCACACTGAGAGCTCATACGCTCTCCCCTCCCCCATTCGATAATACCATCTCCTACTTCCTCCCCCTCCTTCCTCACTCTCTGGCTGCTTCTCAGCTTCCCTCATCTCACTGGATCCTCCCTCCCCCACCATCCCCCCCTCTCCCTCCCTCCCCCTCCCTCAAGTTTAGGCTCCCTGGCTCACTGTGTATCTTCGGATAATAAAGCTTAACTTTTTTGAGGGAAAAATCCGAGAGGAATTTAATTTCGTTTATTTTGTGGGAATATTTATAAATCTCACACCCCCTTCCCCCCCCCTTCCCCTCCCCTTACCCTCCTAAACCCACTTACCCTCCCCAACTCCCTTCCCCCTTTCCCTCTCCCCTTCCCCCTCCCTCTCTTCCCTCCCCCGCCCCCTCCCCTTGATGTAGTTGAAAAAATTATATCCACACACACACACACACACACGCCAACACACACGCACACACGCACACACACACACACACGCACACACGCACACACCACACACACACACACACACCACCACACACACACGCACACACACACACACACGCACACACACACACACACGCACACACGCACACACCACACACACACACACACACACAACACACAACACA